CATATATATATATATATATATATATATATTTTGTTTTTCATATTTAATGAAATGAATTTTATGGTGAAATAGCACTTCATATCTCTTTCATATCTGCTGAATTAGTAATGTCTAAGTGCAATATTAAAGATTTATTAATTATAGTTGTGGAAGAATCGACATGCATTGTGGATGAAGGAATGAGGGGCCCGGTGCTAATTATTTTGGATTAATAATTTGGTTGAGTAATGCAAACTTGATATTTGTAGGAGATGGACGAAGTGTGTAGGAATGCAATTGGAGCTAATTGAAGTGGACTTATCAGAAAAGGGGTCCTTTTTGCGCAAATGGAAGGGAAAGGTATCGAGTGTAAGGAAAGATTTACGGCGTGCATAATTGCAATTGCGGGGAAAGGCATTAGGAGATATGTAGCCTGGTTGGTGGCTGATGGAAGCGCACTACGGGAGCAAGGGGCCCACTCAGGTTAGAGAGAGAGAGAGAGAGAGAGAGAGAGAGAGAGGGAGAGGTTCTCTCTCCTCGGTATTTAAGGGTTGGTTTGGGGCAACTTATCTGGTGCGGTGGTGTTTTGAAAATACATCTGGATTGTTTGGGTAAATTGCATTTTGACAACTTATACGTTTTGAAAAAACTTAAAGCAGCATTTTTATACATGCAATGACAGCTTTCTGGCAGCGGTCTGATTTTTCCAATAAATCAAAACTTTCTAAATTTCACAGCACCAAGCTTATCAGCAGATTATTCAAAAAGCTGCAGCTGCCCCAAACAGACCCTAAGAAAAATTATTACACGCGGTGATCAGAATGATAGCGTGGGTGGGCTGCCTAGCGTGACGTGCAATTAGCAACACGTAAAAATTTTCCCTTTTACGGACATGACACACAAATCTTATTTATGTATATATCTAAGACCTAAAAATTTATATTTATATATGGAAGTGTGTTGTGCTATATCTTTCTATTTCTTAATCATATCATAAATTTCTATATATATATAACACTCAAATCTTTAACATCAAATAAAAAGATATAACCATGGCGATCTTTTAAAAGAAAAATACATATTTTCACATGATACAAAGATGTTATGAGTGCAAATATGACAATTTGGATGTTAGATATGTAAATATATAAATATTGTATAGTATGTATGTAAGGGTTTAAAGCTATTTTGTTTAAAAGGAAAATACATAATTAAATACATGACTTGGCTTGTGTGGTTAGGATGGAGCTTACAAGTATGCCAATTAATGACAAATATTTTAAATTAAGTTCCATTTGGTGTGTTTGTAATTTTCTTGAAAAATTAGATGAGAGTTTATTATTGAAACATTTGAAGTAAGAAAAATGTGGTTATTATTTCAAATTGTGGATTATATTTGGATTATATGTAGTTGACCAGCTTTTATAAGTAAAAAGTTGGCTTTACTTATTCAATTATGAAAACTATGTGGTTTCGAATGAGTTTAGAACTAATCAAATTTGTTTTAAGATGAGAGTGGCATATAGATAGTCAATTAAAATTTATATTATATTTAGCTTAAAATAAATTTTATGATTTTGAGACTCATACGATAAAGTTTTGATCTAAATATTATATATATATTTATATTTTTGTTTTATCGTAATTTTTTAAGTAGTAAAAAATAAATAAATAAATATTAACAAATAATAATATGAAATTATTATTTTAATTAGAGAAATAATATTAATTACTTAATAATTTCGATGAGTATAAAAATCATAGTTTGCATAAATATGTTGCTAAATATTAATATTCATTGTTTTCTTTTATTATGACTAAAATAGGTTTTAGGCCCTTTTAGAGTCTAAAATATATGACTAAATTGAAGCATATTTAAATATAGAATTACTGTTTTTTTATTGATAAAAAGTTCTCACATAATTAATGTATTATCATGCCATTAAAAATGCATGAAAATGTAATTTTAAACTTCTAATAGAGATAAAAACTACGGGCATTTACATACATGCTACACAATTCTTCCATGTGCACATATCTAACACCAAAACTTCAATATTTACAAGCATACCGCTCAAATCTTTAACATCCTATCAAAAACACAACTACCATTAAGTTCTTAAAGGCGGAATACACATGTGCATGAAAAGATTTATAACACCAAACTGTTATAAATGTAAATATCAAACTTTAGGTGATAGATATGTAAATACATAAAAATTTTGTGGTATGTATCTCATTTCTAAGATTTTGTTCCTAAATGTTATTCTTATAGCCAATAGAAGAAAGCAAGAAACTTCTTAATATGAAAATAGAAAGGCATATGTGCATATATGCTTATGTGGCGAGTCATTTAGGCCATAATAAGAAATGAGGAAGGAATAGGTTTTTAATAGGATCCTAAGAAAAGTTATTTTAGTGGTTGCTATAATAAAAAGGGAATATTTGAGTTGGGAGGGGTCGCATGTTGCTATTGATGATGGTCGTTGGGTCATGTGATGTGTCACATTGCTCGTGACTAATAATTTTTATGTCAAATCATTTTATTTTTATTTATTAGTTTACCATTGTACACATGACTTGTCAACTATTATGCATGTATAATGCAATAAATTGTATGACTTCATATTAAATGTACAAAGCATAAATTCTAACTTTTTTAGAGGGAATTTACATACATACCACCCAATTCTTATATATTTACTTACCTAACATCTAAATTTTGCCTTTTATAGTTAT